GGAGATCAGGGCCCTGCGGGACCTTGTGCAGCTCCGCAGGGCCTGCAAAGACGGAGCTCTCCCGCCAGGCTTTCTGCTAGGGTAGCGGCACCATTATAGAGCCCTGGCCCTTGGTTTTAACACCCATGCTGAGCCGCAGGAAGATCTGGAGCAGAAGGATTTTTAGAGAGGACATTGAAATAAGCCATCTTGAGTCACTATCTTCTGCACTTTATGAAACTGTATTAATAATGGAATTGTTTTATATGGTTTTAATGTGGTTTTAGGAGCTGCGGTGGCTCAAGTGGTGAAGACGCTGAACTGCAGGCTGTGGAAGGCCGGTAGTTCAGCAGTTCAAGACCCGAGTTGCCGCATGACGGAGTGAGCTCCCGTCTCTAGTTCCAGCTCCTGCCAACCTAGCCGTTCGAAAGCAAGAAATTGCAAGTAGATAAATAGGGACCACTTCGGTGGGAAGGTAACAGCGTTCCGGGCGCCTTGGTGTTTAGTCATGCAGGCCACATGACCACGGAAACGTCTTCGGACAGCGCTGGCTCTTCGGCTTGGAAACGGAGATGAGCACCGCAACCCTAGAGTCGGACTCGACTGGCTTTCGAGCAAGGGAACCTTTACCTTTACCTAATGTGGTTTTAACTGTATTTTATGTACTGCCTGTGAGCCACCCTGAGCCTGCATTGCGGGGAGGGCAGGATATAAATGCGATCGATCAATCAATCAATCAATTTGTTGTACTGCTTCAGACCAACACAGCTGACCACCTGGATCTATCCTCTTGGATAGGTTAGTTCTGGTCCGAGGTCCGTTTCAGAGTGGGGATCTGAACCGAAGTCTACAAGATTCTGTGCGGATGCTCCCACCACGACACCGTGCTGGCTGGCCGTCCCCCACTCATGCACCTCCATGCCTGCCATCTGAGGTCCACCTCGGCCACTGGTTGTCGATCCCTATGCTGGGACAACGGTTGACAGAGGTTCCTGTTTTTTGGAACCCCATCGGCCAAGATTCTGGGTCAGCTCTTAAAGGGCACACTCGGGCTCAAACTGATGAGAAAAGGATCCCACTTCTCAGGCCCATCTGTCAAGCATGAACTGCAGGTTCATGTCGCCTCAATTTGCCTCAGAGCTGTTCAGGGAAGGAAGAAGGGTTTTAACCCTTCAGTCTCCATTTAGTTTAGCTATCCAAAACTGGCTTCTCTGTTCAGCTATTAGCAGTTGAAAGGAAAGAAGAAGCGACCCATTAAACACCCTGTCCCTTTCTTGCATGGCCCTGAGGCCAATTGAGGCTGCCTGAGACCGCTTCTTGCATAGTATGGGCAGACCAAGACAGGAGATGTTGGTCTCATCTGTTTCAGCCCTTGGCTCAGATAGGACCAAGTGAGGTCTGTGGTCACTGCTGTTGTCCCTTTAAGGGAGAATGTGATTAGATGAGAACACAGACCTAAAACCTGCTCTCATACAGCTGTACTCTGCAGGACGTTTTGAGAAGCAACCATCAAGCTACTTTTCTGGCGGGCTCATCTATTGCTGTAGCTCTCGTGGAAGCACGCTTGACCAAGTTCCTAGGAGCCTAGGGGCTGTGGCTCAGTGGCAGAGCATCTGCTTGGCATGCAGAAGGTCCCAGGTTCAATCCCCGGCATCTCTAGCGGAAAGCACCAGGTAGGAGGTGATGTGAAAGAGCTCCGCCTGAGTCCCTGGAAAGCCGCTGCCCGTCTGAGTAGACAATTCTGACTTTGGTGGTCTGGTTCAGTATCAGGCAGCTTCATGTGTTCATGAGCAGCCAAACCCACAGGGTTACTCAGAACACAGCTGGGAGTAACACTAGAATAATGTTGCCACCGTCTGCCGCTCAGCCTTAGGTCGAATCTGCATTTGCATTTTTAAATCAGTCTCGTGCTGCTGTGTCACCGTCTTTCTCTATGCTTGTTTGAAAGTTGTTTGGAGAAGACTGATTTAAAGTGGTGCAGGGGCGCAATGACGGTGGAGCCGCCACAAGAGGGCGATAAACATATGCTGATCTGCAAAAGTATGCTAGCACTGCTGAGGTGTGAAAACGAAAGCAAATACAGACAGCCTTTTTTAAGATGGAGTCAGAAGGCTGGGGCACTGGTGGGAAAGACAAATGCAGATTCGACCTTTATGTCTTCGAAGCATCCTACAGGCCTTGCTCTCGGCAGAAATGTGGAAGGCCACAGAATTTGAATGAATGACAATGACTAGAATCAGCTGGATCCAGCCAAGCACTTTCATGCAATTCCTCTCCTCCTTACAGCCGCTGTCCCGCATGCTTTTTGTCTATGCCGGTCTGATGATCCCCAGCACGGCCTTTTTGGGCAGTCAAAGGGGATCCCTCCACGGTACGCTCACTCATGGGGCTCTGCAGGAAAGATGGGGCAGGCCCTGTTCTAACGACGGCGGTCCCGATGCGCGTGCCGATTGAGCCGAGAAGGGCGGTGGTCTTACCTCCGCCGTGCTTTCCGACGAGCTGTCCGAGGCATAGCTGGGAGAGGAACAGACCCTGCCGAGGAGAACAGGGGACATGGCTTAGACTGACCGGCTGACCGAGGACCAAGAGGAGGGAGTCTTGCGGGCGTTCTTACCTTTCAGGAGTCTGGAACTTGAAGGGGTGTGGAGAGATGAGGCCGGGGGTGGCCGGAGGACTGTGGAGGTTGCTGGAGGCTTCTGGCCACGGGGGGCACTGAGGGAAGGCCGAGGGGGAGAAGGGGGTCGATCCGGGGAGAGAAACGTTAGAACTTGGAAGCTGCGCCTCACAGGCCCACCTGGGGATGCCAGCCTCTGGGCGGGACCTGGGGATCCCCTGGAACTACACCTCGTCTCCAGACTACACAGATCAGTTCCCCCCGGAGAAAATGGCTGCTCTGGAGGGAGGGCTCTGTGGCATGGGACGCCGCTGAGGCCCCTCCCCAGGCTCCACCCCCAAATCCCCAAGAATTTCCCGACCTGGATCTGGGAAACCCACCCCCCACCAGCGGCTGGGTGGGGGAGGGACCTGGGAACCCTGCCTCCGAGACCGGAAGCCGTGGCCCGCTCACCTCCGTCAGCATGGTGCTCTCGTAGGAAGGCTGGTACTTCTCCCGCTCTTGGAGGGACTGCTTTTCGATCTTCTCCCGATCCGTCTTCTGTTTCCGGTCAGCTCCTTTGGGCTGAAAAAGGCACATGGTGTGGGCAGGGAATCAGATGTGCTACTACCAGGGGTCATTTCCCGCAGGAGCACACAGGAGCGGAGCTCCGGCAGTAAGGAGCCCAGGGGGGCGGGCACATGCAACAAGCCCCACCCCCTGCTCCCAGCAGCCCTCAGTCAGAGCAAGAAGCAGCCAGGTAAGTTGCAGAGCCCCACCCCCACCCACCTGCTCCAAAACAGTACAGTGGCACCTTTAAGACCAAGTTTTATTCAGGTACAAGCTCTCCCTCCTCTGCGAGGACAGATCTGCACGTTCCCCCCCCCCAATAGCTAGCAAGCCAAAACAGTCCAGTGGAGCCTGAGCAGTGGGTGTTGCCTTCTGACACACTTCCGATGATGTCAGGGGGTGTGGCATATGCAAATAAGTTATGCTAATGAGTTATGCTAATGAGCTCCTGCACCTCTTTTTCTACAAAATGACCCCTGGCTACTACCTAAACTTTCTGCCTTTCTGGAGCTCTGTGATGGACGTATTTGGAAGGACCAATCTGGGGGAGGTGGGGGTGCACTCCCCATCAGTGTTCCCTCTAAGCAGAGTGAGTGTGAGCTAGCTCACAGTTTTTTAGCCTTCAGCTCACACATTTTAGTCTTCGTTCAGGGCTCCAGAGCAAATGAACTTATGCAGTAGCCAAATCACTGGCTCGCAACTTTAGTGCCGGTAGCTCACAACGTAGAATTTTTGCTCACAGGACTCCACAGCTTAGAGGGAGCGTTGCTCCCCATGACAGCCTTTTCCGGTAACAAATGGCTCCCCCAGGGGACTATGAGTCCTGGAAGCCAAAAAGTCAGGTCCAAGAGACCTCGGAGAGCAGAAATGTCATGGGGGAGAGTTAAACAGCATGCATTGTGGGGCAGCCATTGGCTTCCCACCCTGGGGGCAATGACGCCCCCCACAATTTACCATTTACCATCTGGAGACAATAACAAACAGGTCTCCTGGCCTCCTCCCAGCCGTGGGCACAGGGGAACGTCTTTTAAGTTGTTGGGGTAACCAGAAAGTTTTCCCTCTGCCTTGTGGCTCAGGTGCATGGGCCACGCCGTTCCTTAGGGGGATGGTAGAGCATGAATGCATGGTTGATGCTACACCTCTGCTTGTCAGCTAGCTGCCATTTCTGTGTAGTCTACCCTTCCCTGTTCCCGCTTGCTTGCAGCTCAGCAGCTTGCCGTAAACATGCCAGGGAGACCGTGGGAACTAGACGCCGTTAGCAGTCTGGCCTTGTGAGGTAGGGAGGGCGTGGGGTCCACATTTGGTGTGAATTTTTCTGCTCTCAGGAAACCCTGCGACTCTCCCGCTCATTATGCAATCTCCCGCCGGGAGTCGTCCCACGCGCGCGCTCGAAGTTCATCTGCTTAGCTAATAGTCTTGCCCAGCTATATGTATTGGGATGTTCCCGCCTTCTAGTTATTCCCAGGGCTATTTTTGGGCAGGAACGCACAGGAACGGAGTTCCAGCTGGCTCCCAAGTTGGCCACGCCCAGCAGGAACTCATTAGCATAATAGGCCACACCCAACAGCAGAAACTCATTAGGATTGGCTACATTAGGGGTGTGTGGCCTAACATGCAAAGGAGTTCCTGCTACAAAAAAGCCATGGGTTTTGACCACAAACAAAGTATACAGAATAAGAAGCAAAAGGTGGGTGTGGCTGGATGACCACACTTCTGGTAACATGGCCTAATATGCTAATGAGCTGTACTATCAGGGGTGTGGCCTAATATGCTAATGAGTTTCTGCTTCTGGGTGTGGCCTATTATGCTAATGAGTTCCTGCTGGACTTTTTCTACAAAAAAAGCCCTGGTTATTCCTAACAATAATCCTGTGGACATGGTACCAGTCTTGTACACTAAGAAAGCATAACGCTTCTTAGGAAACGTGTGTGAAAAGTTACTTGCTGTGGAACCTGGCAATGCTCCTATTAGCAAAGGACGCTCAATGAGGGCGTAGATCCTGCTGACCGGCCCACAAGCACGAGAAGGAGAACAGAGCAAGAGATCAAGCACCATCAAAGTAAGTCTATCGCCCACTCCTTATTTGTGAAAAAAGGGGGTGTGTCAAATACGATGATAGAAGTTTGCACCAATTTCCACCAATTTGCCTCTCAGGACATGGGAGAGCCGACCCCCCCCCAAGGTACTTAGTACCAGAGAATAAAGGTAAAGGTTCTTTTGCTCGAAAGCCAGTCGAGTCCGACTCTAGGGTTGCGGTGCTCATCTCCGTTTCCAAGCCGAAGAGCCAGCGCTGTCCGAAGACATTTCCGTGGTCATGTGGCCAGCATGACTAAACACCAAGGCGCACGGAACGCTGTTACCTTCCCACCAAAGTGGTACCTATTTATCTACTTGCAATTTCTTGCTTTCGAACTGCTAGGTTGGCAGGAGCTGGAACTAGAGATGGGAGCTCACTCCGTCATGCGGCACACTCGGGTCTCGAACTGCTGAACTACCGACCTTCCAGAGCCTGCATTTCAGCGTCTTAACCACTTGAGTCACTGCAGGGAATACCACCACGGAAAAGCCCTGATACGGCCCAATTCAATGGTCTTCTGTCAGGAGTTGCATATTTGAGGGTTGCCAGCCTCCAGGTGGTGACTGGAGATCTCCTGCGATTACAACTGGTCTCCAGGCGACAGAGATCAGTCCCCCCTGGAGCAAACGGCTGCTTTGGAGGCGGACTCTGTGGCCTCGTACCACACGGAAGTCCCTCCCCCTCCCCAAACCCCGCCCCTCCCCACGCTCCCCCCCCCCAAATCTCCAGGTATTTCCTAACCCGGAGGTGGCAAGCCTGGCAGGGGGAGAAAGCATAAAAGGAAGAAACTGTCTCAGGGGAATTCACCGTAATGGGGTAGCAGTATGTTGGCTCAGCTTTTTAAAAGGAATATGTTCTATTTAGAACCTCCCTGTACACTGTCTATCATCCAAGAGAAAGGCCCCCTTCCCAGCTCTCTTGGCCTTGGAAGAGCTGTCAGATCAGCTGCTCCTCAGCAGTTCACTGGCCTGACTTACACGGAAGTAAGTCTCTAGGGAGTAATGGCTCTTGTTTGTTCCCACGCTCAGCCTCGAGCGACCCGGATGTATGAGAGATGAGCAGTGCAGGGGTTCTCATGCAACAAAACCTGAACCCCAGGGGCCGAGTTCGATTCCCAGCTCCCACCAGGAACCTTTTGTCAGACTCCCGGTCAAGTTACTCTCAACAACACTCTCTTGGCAGTGATATGTTTATTGAGATGTATGCATGAACCAGAACATCATTTGTGTTAGAACTAGAAATTTTGGCACACATATACTTAATATAGGTAACTCAAACATAGTCCTCTCCCTTTTCTACATGTACACATCACACTCACCCCGCCTAGCGTTGCTATGTCAACCTAATGGGAAAATATATGGGTTGGTTATCTACTGCTTAAGCTGGCACCAAAAGTTTCAAGGATGCCTCTCCCTGGGAAAGAAAGAGGAGGTACATCTTGCAGGGAAAGTTATGGCTCCTAAAAGCAAGAGGCTCCCACTCATTCATCACACGCACCCCCCTCCCCTCCCCTCCCCGTAGGAATTCCCTCCCCCCAGCAATTATGGCAACCTGAGCGAGCAAAGCGAAGCAAGGTTAGACACCTTTACCTTAAAGACTTTCACCAGGCAGCTGGCTGAGTGCAGGTGTTCCACATGTTCGTCCTTCTCGTTAGGCCGGAAGGTGTCCACCTGTATGCGGAAGGGGACCCCTTTCTCCCCGCCACCCTTGCGCAGTGTGAATTCAGTGCTGATACAGTGGACCTATTACAGGGGGAAAGAG